TTTCTATGCTTATACATAGATAATTTACATTAAAAAAAAAAGAAGAAGAAAAAAAAATGAAAGGGAGGGGCTTCCGTCGTTGAGCGGTCGAGGAAGAAGGAGGAAAAGGATTTGGCTCACGAACTTTAGCTTGGACAAAGAAGAGTGGTGAGAAAGGGAGGAAGAGGAAGCTACAAGGGAACAACAACTGTAGGGGTAAGCGAGTCGAGGTGACGAGAAAATTTTATATCCGGACTTCAGACGTCTGGACAACAGCCCAGATGCAGCGAGGAGGGTGGAGGTCTGATTCCTCCGCTCCTCCACTACATCCGAGCCTTTGTCCAAACTTCCAGTCCGGATATAATTTTTTTTCCTTGGTGACACCCAACCCTTCAAGCTAAAATATATAAGGATTTGAGGCGATGGAGAGTAGATAAAGCTGCATGAGACTAAAAGAAAAATAATCCCTATGGAAGATCACGCACGAAAATCCAAATCGAGAAGGTGGGAGCGAGCCAGATCGCGACGCAATTAAAAGAGGAAGGCTATTCGCGATTACATAATATGAAAAGCACTAAGGGGATTATTGCACGGGGTAGCGAGAAAAATAAAAAATTGGTTAACGAGCGGGTCAAAAAATCTACACTGCATAGATTACATTTATGCCTGAATTTAACCTCTATTGTGGTAGAAATTCAAGCTACAATACCTAAAATTATTTATATTTTCTCTCTAGGAAAAATTTTTCTTGTCATTGTTCATGATCATAACTTCATGAGTCTCTTTAATTCTCTCTTTGTGCACTGTTTTTCCCTTGTATACATATAATCACCAATGCCACTTCTTAGATCTCTTATTTAACAAGAAGACTCTTTCACCTTTTATGATAGCTTAAAACAAGATTTAGTGGAATCAATTCAAATAAAGTAAAAATTCATTCTACTTCACAGGGAAAAAAAAATCAAAATCTGATATCCCCCACCAACTCATAATGATCTGTTTTCCCATTTCTTTTCTCCTAAAATGTTAAGAGTTTTAATGGTGATATTATAATCATTATTTTAATAAATAAATTAATGACCATAATGTTGATTTAGACTACATTTTTTATCACATCTTTGTTTCATGACCTACCAACTAGTTGAGACAAATGCTTTGCCCAAACAAAATTTTTAATATGATCAAGTGATACATGTAGGATGTTATTGTTGAGTAAGGTGAAGTCCGATCCACTATTTCGTTAGGGCATTTTTTATTTATGAAAATATTTGAATGGAGTTATTTCTTTCTTTGTTAAAAGCTCTGTGGCTTTTTCCTCCGAACACCCGCCCTCCCAGTTTCGCGATTTTAAAGAGTCCGGCTTGCTCGAATTTTCGCCTGCTCCCCGCTCTCCCTCCTTATTTTGCTTTCGTGAATAAAGGGAGAAGAGTTACAGGGTGAAAATTTTCAAGGCTTTCTTCTGCCCTTTTGTGTTTTTTTTTGGTGGTATACTTACGGGAAGGAGGCAATTCGACTCTCTTGGATTCTTCGGTGTGCCTTAGGGTGGAGAGAGAAGAGAGAGATAGAGAGAGAGAGAGAGTTCTTTCTTGTAAGTCGAAGCGATCAACAATGTAATGTTCAAAGTAATAAAATCCTCTGCAGCTTTTTGGATGTAGGCAATTTGCTGAACCACGTAAATTCGTGTGTTTGCTCTGTCTTGTTTTGCGATTTTTCTCTTTCCAATTTTTACTTTATTGTCATTTTTTTCATAACAATTAGTATCAGAGACAACGTTCAAATCCGAGGGAAAGCGATGATTATAGATGAAGTGAATATAACTGGGATCGATAAGTTTGATGGCACAAGTTTTGGTTACTGGAGGATGCAGATAGAGGATTATCATTGTGGGAAGAAACTTCATATTTCGTTATGGGAAAGAGACCGGAAAAGATGGATGAGGTTGAATAGAATATGTTGGATCAACAAGTTTTGGGGATTATTCGATTAACTCTATCGAGATCCGTTGCATATAACTTCTTCAAGAAAAAAAAAACAATTGCCAATCTCATGGTAGTTTTGTTAAGTATGTATAAAAAATCATCAACAAATAACAAGGTGTATCTGATAAAAAAGTTACTCAAATTAAATATGACAGATGGTATGTCTGTTGCACAACATCTGAATGATTTTAATAATATCACAAATCAATTATCGTCTATGAAAATTTAATTTGATGTTAAGATATGTGCACTGAATTGTTGGCTTCTTTGTTAAATATTTGTGAATCCATGAGGATGCTAGTTAGTGATTCTACTGGTAAATTTAAGTTGAAATATGATGATATTCGTGATTTGATTTTGTCTGAAAAAGTGTGTAGGAAAAATTCTAGTGAGACCTTGGGTTTGAGTTCATCACTAAATGTTCATTCCAAAGGGAGATCATATGACAAGAACTTAAACAGAGGAAGATCAAAATCAAAGCACAGAGGTGATGCCCCTAGAATGTGAGCTTAAATATATGTATAATTACTCTAATTTCAATCTCTTGTGGTGGCATCAAATAATTGATCCGATCTATAATTATGTAAATATTTAAGTCCATGACCAAAAACTTGACATAATTTAATTATGGTGGCTACTGCGCAAAATGAATATGTTGTAGAATTTTAGAATTTAATTTATAGTTCACTAACTAGGGGTACTAATCAAGTGCATGGATTGTTGCAAGTAGTAAATGACTTTCTTTTAAGACTAGAGTGTCTTTCCCACAGAGAAGTGAGGTAAGAATCTCTTAGGATCATTCTAGTCTATTATTGTTCGGTCTTAGGTTTAGAATGACGATTAAGGGTGTTTTTCTAATGACAACTCCTAAATACAAACCTAAATTGAAAGATAAACCTAATTAAATAAATTTGCTTGGAGAATTTTGAGAAATTAAAAACTACCTTTCTCAGACGACGTCATAGATAAATTGTAGGAATGAAATGCTTAGAATTTAATATGGTCAGTGACAAATAGGAGCATGCCTATTTTTTACCCTCTCCTGAGCGCATAAAGAATATTAGCTAATCTAAAGTAAGTTTCTGATTGTATAATAGTACTGAGTAGATTCTAGTCATTTCTAGATTATCTACTGTGTTCTCTCTATAAAACCTATCAGAGACTCAAGTTCCAACTCTAAACCAAATTGGTAAAGGATCTAGTATGTTACCTTAGAAACACCAATTCTACGCTCATCAAAAATTATCTCTCTATCTATTTGCACTCCCCCTTAGATGTGGCATCACCTCCATCCAAGGTCATTATATTTTGCAACGAATTTTAACATCATAAGTGATCAATTTGTAAAGTAAGTTAAGAACCGGTGAAAATACCATCACATTAATGAAATAAGAATAGATCTAAGAAAATTTAAATTCCTAAACATACATCCATTTCATTGCAAAGATAAATAAAATGAATATCATAGCATAAGTAGTAAAAGAATTGATAGAATTATGTAATAATTATATGCCAACAAAGAGCATATGTCTACCTACTCTCTTTCGAGTCTATAGGCACATTTAATATTCTATTAGTTTTATGCAACTATTTGTCACCTAGAAGCTCCTAATAGTAACATATCATTAAATTATATTTCCTTAAAAGTTGCATTTCCGCCTAAATTAGTTTATCATAGCCAACCGGTCAATGTGAGTACACTTAAGTTGCGAGATCATTGCTCTCTCGAGTTTTAGCTTCACTTACAATAGATTTTAATATAACACATTGTCACTTACGTTATATCAATAAAGCAAAGGAGATATTACTCATCACATGGAAATAAAAATTATTCTATCATAAAATAAATTTTTCTACACATGCCACAACTTCATATTAAAAGAAAAAGTAAAGAAAACTACTCACGAAGGTTAGATAAAACACAACAGAAACTTCATTAAATCAAAGAAAATCCACTATACAGTGTTTAAAACAATTATAAGATAATTAAGAACAAATAGTTATTTTTTTTTCTTCTGAAAGAAAGATGAAAATCTCTCTAAAAAAGTCTCCTGTCGATCCATGTGCTGCTTTCATACTCATATCTCTCAAAATCTCTCACCAATCTCTCCTAGAAAAGTAGAATTCTACATCGCCTCATACACACACACACACACACCTCTTAGAAGAGGCATGCCCAGAATCTCTCTAAAACTCTCCAAAACTCTCTAAAAACTCTCTCTCTAAAAACACTTCCTAATTACAAATTGCTGATCGAGTATCTCTGGACGTGTTGAGTTAACTACTTTCCCGACCATGTAGACTTAGAGTCCTAGTAGCCCGGTATGACAGGTCTTTGGTGTCCCTATCTGACTACCTCAACTGTGAAGGATTACTCCTCCCTTCCTTTAACTACCCCCTTCAAGCCCTGTCGCTTCCTATTGACGCTTCGTTGATGTCGTCGCGTAGGCCCTAATTGCGGATGGACAGCCTCCCATTTTAGATACGACATTTCATCAGTTGTCCTTATGACCCAGTTTGACCTTGGAAGCATAATGTGGACCCTATGTGACAATTCAATTATTTCATAGGCCCCTGCTGACCGATAAGTTTCCATTCGTATGGGATTGTGAGAGACTCACTCCCTGCTCGTATGGATCAAAGTGAGCTTTGATGGTATCGGGACGTTCCTGTAAGATAACTGTGCTATGTGCCCCTTTACTAGTTGTTATACAAGTATAAACAAAATTCCTTTAATCGAGAGTATCCATGGGCACCTCACAAGATGTTATTAACAAAAGGGATATGTTCTTTTGGAAGTTGCTCTTGACCCCAAAACAAGTAAACAAACTTGAATCTTCGGTTATGTGTTTCTTTCATAGGTCCTCTTCGCGGATATGTTCCAAGACAATTTTGATCTGATCTCATTTTGGGCATATGCTCTTGGGCTATCACTCGAACTTTTCTTTACGAAAGTTCTCCACGTGCTTTTTCTCGTTTGTCTTCATTGTCGTATATCTCGTTCTTTCTGGTTTCTTTCTTCTTCAGATCATTCATATGATCTGGAAGTGAGATTCACCCGGATAAGATAATTATACGCGATAGACAAACTGACGACTTATTCAAAAATAAAAGAGAAAAAGTAACAAAACACTCTCACAAAACTAGTTAGTCCTTTTCCCATCAACCTCGTCTAAAATAATTTGAATTAATTACATTTGGTTTAAAGATTGTGCTTTAAAATATACAATTTTGGCAAAAATATTATTATTAGTGCCCTTAAGAATAGTTATTTTGGCTTACCAAAGTGTATGTATTAATTGACAACATACAATTTGCTCTAATGTTAATGACTCTCATTCACATATATTTTTTCAAAGCTCAATATCTTTTTATAATTTGAAAAGAAGTATTACTAATGATCATTTTTTTCACCAAGGCTATGATTTTTTCACAAGTCTTAGTTTATGAGAATATTGTTTCATGCAATATAATCAAATAATTCCCGCACTTGGATATTCATATTATTGCTCATTATACTTGAACTAATTGGAATAAAAATATTTTTGGAGTTTCAAGTGATGACATTTATTTTGTGGCCAAAGCACCCTTACTAAAAGATAGAAAGAAATTAGAAATTGAATATTCAAGGTGGAATTCCTCATAATATATTGGTAATATATTTCATGTAATTATTTATACTGGTCATTTCATTATGGAACGCTCTTACATATGTAGCCTTATGTTTTCCTTATTGTAAGCTATTTGATTCTATGGGCTTAGTGAGCTTTTATGTTATCTTGTGTTGCTTGCAAAATGCTTACTATGTTCCTTTTTTTTTGCCAAGGAGTTCAACATATGCATACTTTTTTTTATCTCCTTTTTTGGGCGGCATGATGAGATGCATTTAGAATATGAGACTCAACCATGTAGCCCTTTTTGCCTAGGTGCTCGATCGAAATATGCCATCTTCACATAAATTTTGTTGTCTTTAACTTGTTGCCTTACATGAACCCTGCATTATATGCAATTGTTGCTATCCCCTGAGCTTTTGCCTTGTTACATATTAAATCATTTTTCTAATTTTTTTTTTTTTGTTTTGATTTTTTAAGAGATATTATAATCTCATGCTTATTAGAAAATTTTATGTATCTCACCTCTCTAAAACAAGGACTTGAATCTAGTAGCCCAAGAGGAGGTTGCATTCAAAGTTTGTCAACATATCTTAGATTATCACTATATAATGACGTTTGAAGTCTATCATGCCATTTCTTAGTTGAAAATAAGAGAATAAATTCATAAGAAAATACTTTGAAGTATTTTTTATTATGATGAAATATTGAAAACTAGGTGCATTTACATACACACCACTCAATTTTTATGTACCTACATCTCTAACTCTTAAACTTCAATTTTTACATATATGACACCTTATTTATGCATGACAGATTGTATTTCACTTTTTAAAATTTTAAAATATTGAAATTTTTTTATGTGATATGAAAGATTTGGGTGTTATAAATCTAAAAAGTAAAGTTTAGGTGCTAAATATGTAAATATATAAGAATTGGATGGCGTGTATGTAAATGCACCTAAAAAGCTTGGGACCAGTTTTTTTAATTGTAATTTTGTTTTTGAAAACAAAAAATAGGAAATGAACAAAAAAAATTGTGTTTGCTAATCAATTTTTTATTGTATTTCTGTTTTTTTTTTATTTTTTTGGAAGAACACTTCTGTTTTTAAAATAATCAAAATAGAAAAAAAATGTGTTTTTGTCTATTTTTAAAAGATAAAAAACAGCGAGTCCCGTGCCAGTGGCCGCCCGCCCCTTTCCACCGGCCCACAGCCGCCTAAATGCATGAATGAAATAAATGACTTAGACAAATATCTTCCAAGCAAGTTTCTCAATGGGTCACAAAGTATTCAACTACTTCGATTATTATTGTTTTTTTTAAAATTAGGATAATTAATCAATTTGAAACTTTATTTTAATTTGTATTGATTTTAAATTTTATTGTACATCAAATAGTTTAATGACAAGTTTTAAAGGCAATTAGGGGCTCTTCCTTGTTGTAGTTGATGTGCTTCCTTATTTACTCATTAGGTTTGCAATAAAAGGCATGATATGAGATTTGGTAAGTTGTATATCATTATTAACAACATTAACACTCATGGAGATTACTATGCCTACCTACATCATGGGCACATCACATGTTAATAGTAATAATGAACTCTAATTTTTAATGCCCCCTTTGACAATCATCCATAATTTACCATTGAAGATGAAAAACAATAATTTGGCACCAAAATGAAACAAGTATTTCTTGTTGTGTTTCATAGCTTTATCTCACCTCACTTTATAAAAAGAAACCCAAGAAATATAACTGTTGCATATAATAGTCACACAACAAACTATTCTACTTGATAGAATTAGAGCAGTATAATGTACATCTCTCACAACCTCAACTCTGCTCTATGACATAATAAAGCATTCACCGCTACGAAAACTATAGTAGCAATAGCATTGAAGACCCCATACATTTTTATTTAAGAGAAATAGTTCTCAACAAAAAAAAGCACCAAAAATACCACTAAGTTGGTCAAAGTAGTACGAGATTTATTATTTGGAAAATGCGGGATTGAAAAGAAAAAGTTCAAACAAAGTTTGTTTTGTTTCATTAGATCTCGCCATCCCAAAGGTCCTCCACGCTCTTGTAAACGCTTTGGGGGTGAACAAGAAAGCTTCCAGTAGATAGCCTAGCCTGCACATTATTTGTAGCATATAAATATTTAATTTATTGTTATTTTTAAAGTTTAAGTAAATACTAATCATAAATTGTTAAAATTGACAGGTAAAAGTCATTTGATGCCAATGAGAACACCTACTTGGAGCATGAGCATGATTCATGAAATAATGAAGGACAAGCTTGCAAAATGTTACACTGAAGCCTTTCAGCATTCATAGTATTTTATAATGGATGTTGTTGTCAATTTTTCCTCTATTATAAAGAGCTTCTTAGGGATCATATTTATTTTTTTATGTTTTGAATTGAATGCAAACATATTTGATGATGACACTCAAACTACTTCAAAATTTTTTGTGAGTATGTCAAAAAAAAAAAAAAGTCCTTAGTGGTATAATAAATAGAATCAACTTAATGACTAAATTCAATTGTCTTGGATAACATTCCATAGCAATAGCATATTTTACTTATACATAGTACTTCAAGTCACAAAATTTGTTAATCACACAAGAAATAAGTATCATTAAATTAAAATGTTAATCAAATTTTTTAAGAGAAATATGAGTAGTAGAAGTGATGATAATGAATGTAGATTAACATCAATGTGCTTCTAACATAAAAAAGTGAAATAATAGAAAAATGGACACTTGCCTGCTCGATTTCAGAAAACTTGGCAAGTAAATCTTCAGGAATAGACCAACCAAAAATGTCAATATTCTCCTTAATCCTTGCTTCACCTGTGCTCTTAGGCAGCACACTGTGGCCCGCTTGCAGACCCCAACGGAGAGCAACTTGGGCGGGAGTTTTTCCCAGTGTCTCAGCAACCTTAGTTATAATTGGATGAGAAAGAACATTAAGTGAATGAGTACCAGGAGAGCCGATTGGAGAATATGCCTGTAGAACAAGTTTACTTATTAAGTAAATTACAAGAAAAAATATTTGATTAATGAAAATAGTAAATATTTGATGTGTTCTTCAATTATTAAACATAATCTCAACATAAAAAAAATGGGGCATTTAAATGCATATCACACAATTCTAGTCACCTTTCATATTTACATGCATAACACTCAAGTATTCAATATCACATTAAAAATACTATTATTTGTTTAATTTTTAAAAGTGAAATACACACTTTTATGAATAAGTTATAACAATAAATATGAAAAGTATAGGTTCTAGATATGTAGATACATAAGAATTGTGAGGTTTATATGTGAATTTCCAAAGAAAAGCTTTTGTTAATGAAAGGAGGTTTTCATGTAGGAAATCTTCACACATTTTTGTTCTCTTTCTTTGGTTGAATGTTTTTTTATAAATCAAGCGAAAAAGCCACATAACATAAATGCCAAAAAGCTCCTTCAAATCTTCTTCATAGTAAGCTGCCCCATGAGGACTTCAACATGAGAGCTATGTTATTAGCAAGCTTCCAACCTAATTTTTATATTGTATTCATTTGTGAAGATGTGTATGTTAAAATCATATATGTTTGAAAAATAGTGACATAATCTAGTTTCAGTACTCTCACAATGTCTTAACAGTTTCCGATTTCATAGAATTTTTTTGCGCAATGGTAGATCAAGCTTGCGCTTGATATACTAATTATTAAGTTAATTTATTTACAATTGAAAGTTTACACCTTTCATTGGTATTACTAATCCAAATTATTTTCAAATATAAGATTTGAGCAAAACCAAATCATATATTCTCACATTTACTAACATATTTGAGGTTCATAGAGAAATAAGGTGAATAATACATGAACAACCAAAATCAAAAAAAATTTACAAATCTAACTTATCCAAGAAAAATGAATTATTCTGCATGACATAGTTTAGCCATTGAGAATTTGATAAAAATGAAGAATACATATTGAGGATTTGTTTTGCACTTTGAGATGTAAATATGTTAAATTTAAATGTTAAAAATATAATTGTCTGAAAAAATAAAAAATAAAAAATGTTATGGGGAAACTTACAGAGAGATGAACACCATTGGATTGACAGAATTGGTGAAGCTTGGGCTGCTGCCAACCAGGATGGCACTCCACCTGATTGACGGCAGGGGGCACACGGGCTACTGCAAGTAGATCTCCAAGTTTCTTGGAAGAAAAGTTGCTCACACCAATGGCTCGAGCTTTCCCAGAATCATGGAGCTTCTCTAGAGCTGCCCAAGTTGCAGGAATGTCTGGTGTTACATAGTTTTGTGGACTCAACCCAGCCCCCTTCTTAACACGAAAAGGCCAATGGATCTAGAAAAGAAATATCAATAGAAATGAGCCTTTAATATGCCCACATGATTTTATTAATTCTAAGTTAAGTAGCTGGATAAGGCAATTATACCGCCAGAATTGAATGAAAACATGAGAGGCTTTTAGATACACAATTTATATATATTTACATATCAAACATCTAAACATTTATATTTACATACATACAACTCAAATCTTTAATATCACATCAAAAATGCTATCATTTCTTCCTTCTGAAGAGTGACATACACCTTTTCTTTTATATGTTTATGACTATCGTGTTAGGAGTGTAAATATCAAACTTTGGGTGTTACATATGTAAATACATGATAGGGGCATTTATATACATACAACACAATTTAAGGACATCGCATGAATAAAACCACTTCTTCCTTCTTTTTTTTTTTGGTGTTGTCATTAGTCCATAGAGTAAGAAACGATATCCAATCTAACTGAATTGATCTAATTTTTTTATCAATTTTGAGAAAAGTCTTTGCTTAATTAACCTGCCTAATAAACTCAAGCAAATTATCTTAGTTGGCATAGTGGAATGTCATCATGGTATAAATAAACTAAAAAAAGAGCATCTTAGTTTTATTGTGCAAAATCATCGTAAATTTGAAGTGGCAGAGAATAATTCTTTAACAATGGTGGTTGGCTTGAATTGGAAAGTAAAGGTGATGAACATACAAGGTACAAATCAACATAATGAAGCTGCAGATCCTTCAAAGTTGTATCCAAAGCTTCAGGCACATCTTCGGGTGCATGATCACTACACCTGCATATATATTTCACCAATACAACTAAATAAAATATATAAGAACAAAAATCTAAAATATGGAACTTAAATGTAAGAGCGAGTGAACAAACCATAGTTTCGAGGTGATGAACAAATCTTCTCTCTTGACAACACCCTCCTCAAAAACATGTTTAAGAGCAGACCCGACCTGTGTATATCCAACCCCATTTGTTAGTTAAAGAGTTTAGCTGCACATTATTTGTGGGAAAAACATATGATGCCCAATATAGCCATGTTACATCAATGGTCGAATCTATTCTATTTAAACATGTAGAGACCATATTCATTGATCTCATATACTTTAATAAAACCAAATATGGTATAATTTTATTATATATCACAGGACAATAAGCCTCTAAGGTAAATGCACTATCATATAATTTGATTTAAACCATGCTTTTTTTATGTTCTCAAATGAGAAAATAATTTTTTTGAAGTAGTATCGTTATGAGAAGTATAAGATTATAGAGCTATTTGGTAATGTTATATTAATGTAGAATTTAATTTAAATCTTGCGAGATAGAAAAATGATAATTTTAAATCCTAGAATTAATAAACCTATTTTCTTAATTTTTTCTCAATTTTGTTTTAAATCTAAGATTTACGAAGGGTTTTTAGCAATGCCTACAACAACGACAACAAACTTTTATCTCACTAAGTGGGGTCGGCTACATGAATCCTTCTTCATAGTAGAGTCCTATTGGGTGTCATAATTTCATTTAATTCTAAGAGTTTAAGATCAATTTTTATACAATACTTTTACGTCTTTTTAGGTCTATCTGTACATTTCTTAACATAAGTCAAATCTAAAACACATATTCTCCAAACAGAATCATAAGATGGACGACGTTCAATGTGACCAAATCATCTAAGATAACTCTCTGTAATCTTATCCACCACGTTTAATAGGATTTATCATCGAATTTATCACATTTAGGGGAACACTATGGCGGAGTTATGCGGATTTATAATGAATTTTTGGATTTAAATCGAGGTTATCACCCAAATTTTGGCTTCAGTTATGCTTAAATCCAGATTTACTAAATCCAGGGATAGGGTGGGCCTAACTGATTTACGATTTATAGATTTACTAAATTCTATTATTTTGAATCCTAATTGCAGCCGAACGCCCTACAAACCTTGATTTTAGCAAGATTTAGTAAATCGAGGCTAATAAGATTTACTAAATCAACTAAATATGTTACCAAACAACCTTAATAAATCAAAATTTACAAGACATAACTAAATAAGGGTGTGTTTGGGGCAGCTGCAACTTATTGAATAATCTATTGATAAGTTGATTAAAAATAATATGTTGATAAGCTAGGTGTTGATAAGCATATGTTGATAAGCTAGGCGCGGTGGCAATTATAAATTTTTATTTTTTTAGAAAAGCCAGAAAGTTGTCACCGCATCTATTTAGGTGCGGTGTGAAAACACTGCTTTCAACGTTTTCAAAACGCATAAGCTGCCAAAATGCAATTTACCTATACAAGTCAGGTATGTTTTCAAAACGTCACCGCACCAAAAAAACTGCCCCAAACGGACCCTAAATCAGCAAAATCGATTACCAAAAAAACCCATAGAGTTTCAAAAAATAAAAATCACTTCTAATAATAATAATAATTAAAAACAAAAAAGAACTAACTTGTTCATAAGATTACAAGTCATGCTATCAGATGACAGCCTAAGAAGTAATTAAATATCTTTAAACTTATGCCGTATTTCAAGCTATTTCGATGAAACTCATTTTATGTGTTATGAAGCTTCTTGCTAATGTCATCTCACAAGACAATTTAAAGAACACTAGGCTTAAAAATGCGTGCATGCCAACCAAAATAAATACCTCTTTTTCATTGCCGTATACTCGTGCGCAATCAATATGTCTGTAGCCAGCCTGCATAACAACATGAGACCAGAATTGTGAAAACAAATTAATTTAAGAGCAAACATTTAATTTAAGTATTACTACTAATCAAAAGATTAAGGCAGTGTTTGGTATATATTATTTATAAATTTTAAATATGAATTTAACTTAAATACATTTAAACACAAAAAAATAAATAATAATAATAGATTCAACTTCAATTTTTCCTAAGTTTCGTCTTTTTCTTCTACTTCCAACGTTCCTAATGTGAATTTGATAAATTTAAATTTATGAGATTTGATAAATCCTATTTAATGTAAAACTAAGTTGCAGCTTAACACCGCCTAAATCTACCAAATTTATTAAGTTTAATTTATTCTAAAAACATGTTTCTCCATAGCATCACTAACTTGTCTAGTTATCACACATCAATGTGAAGAAAGGAAGAGAGACTTTGATACCTTGACCGCAGCAATGACGGCAGCTCCGACGACACCAGGCTCCGATTGCCAAGTGCCGAGCCCCACGGAGGGTATCTTCGCCCCCGTGTTCAGAACAAAGTGCTTAGCCATGCGAAGAATTCCTATGCCCAGAAAGCAGAGACTTAGAAGGTGAGAAAATAGCCGCTGCAACCATACAGCGCCAGACTTGTTCATTTATAGTGCGAGGAAGGCTGAATGAATCCGCACGACTATTGATGCAGACTGCTTTGAGAATCGTGTCGAAGGCTTCTCAATGGTTTGGATTAAGTCTCCACATTTCATAATTTAACTATTATTTATATAGTTTTTAATTGATTTTTAGCATAATTTTCGTCAGTGGTCCCATCATTTGGACTACCTTCGTCATTTCTTTTAAACTAAGTAGTTTTATCGATTCTACGAGGGGGCTGGAAATACTTAATTTATATGTTGTGGCTGTCATGCACTTCATTGAAAAAACAAAAATCAAATATTTTGAAAATTATTAATATATTTGGGTAGGTTTGATCCTTGTTTTGTCGGGATACTCACGAGCCGTTCAGAGATAACTTAGTTAAATTAATCCATCATCCTTCGCGATAGCTCCAAATTTATTGAAGTAAATAGCATGCAGGGATTTTTATTTTACTTTATTTTATTCTAGTTATATGGATGGGATGTTTTATATTGAATTTTAATTAATAAATTTTATTAATTTTTTTTAACAAAGACAGTGTCTCTTGGTAATTTTATAGAGAAAAATTTGCGTGCGTAAGACGAATTTACATTTAATTGTAATTAATAAAATTTATTAATTTTTTTTAACAAAGACAGTGTCTCTTAGTAATTTTATAGAGAAAAATTTGCGTGCGTAAGACGTACGCAGAGTTGTGTACATATTAGATTATTAGGAGGGTGCAGATAAGTTACACTTATGTTATATCTCTTTTAATTCTTTTAGTAACCTACATGTAGTCTCCGAATAATCTAATATGTACGCAACTGTATGTACGTCTTACATACGCAAATATTTCCCAATTTTATATCCAAATATTGAGAAGGAAGAAATAATCTTTTTCAAAGTTATTACTGTGACGTCGTATCTTTTATTCATATAAGAAATAGAAGTCAAGATTACTTTGAAAAAGAATAATTTTTTTCATTCGATTTCTGGTGACCTAATTGAGCTGAACCAAATCAATTTCAATTGAAATTATGTATACGTTGCATATCATTTTTAGCATTCTGATTAAGCTTTAAAAATTAAGTTTTTTGGTGATCGTAATTACTCCTCAATTAAATAGAAAATGTTTTTTAGTTAATTTATTGTTAATAAAAATAAGTATTCATTTTGCTCCTTTTTAAACTTTCAAATCACGAACGTATTCTTAACGATGTATGAGGACGGAATTTTGAATGATATTCCCCTGGGAATTTGTTCCAAATGAATCCAAGCGGCTATTTCTATGCTCAAATTTAAGAATGTTAGAATGGAGATATGGTTTTAAAAGTATACTCGTAATGAGAACATTATACCTGTTATATTTTTAATGAGAGAAATAGGACAAACCACAGATCATACCAAATCATCATAGCGATTAAAATATAAGGCAGTCCTTAACGATAATATGACTATTCCAACAAAAAAAAAGATTGTTTATTCCGTCCGGACATCAGACGCAAATTGCGTCTGTTCAATCAAAATTTTAAAAAAATTAAATTAAATTGTGGTCCACTGACATATACTTTTGGTATGAAGAATATTTTCATTGGTTAATGATGCGCCCCAAGTGTGTGTTGTTTTATGTCAATTTAATTCCCCTGAGACGGTACCAAAAACTTGACCCGACCCGATTTTACATAGTAATTTAGCGTTCAAAAGATGGTAAAAAACTTGACCCAATTTATAATTAGTGGCTAATATACAAAATTGAAATGTTATAAAATATAGCAAATAGTTCACACATTATTGGTTCTACAAAAGTGCACGTATTGCTTCAAGTAATATAGTACTTTCTTTGAAAACCCCAGTATTGATCCCACGAAGAAGCGAGGAAAGAGGTCATTAATCAAATTTCAGTCTACTACTATTAGTCCTTAGATTGGAATGTTGATTAAAATGGTGTTTTATCTAGCAGTTACTCCTAAATGCGAATGTTATATGTAAGGATATTAACTATTCATAAATGTAAATATTAATTCTAAAGATAACCCTTTCTGGATGAATTGGTTTGGAGAATTTTAAGATGATAAAAACTACTATTCTTATGTAGTGGATTGGATAATGTAAAAAAATGAGATACATTAAATATTGTATGTGCCAAATAAGAACAATTTTAATTCTCTACCCTCAGTCAAGTGTTATAGAGAATCGTTAGCTAAGCTTAGGTTTAGTCTCTAAATCCGTGGTTAGGATGAGAGGATATTGACTCTCACTCCAGAGCTCCCACTTCCCTTCCCCTGAAGGCTAACTCTCATTTTAGTTCTTAAACAATAAAACCATAAAACCAAATTGGGGATTTATTGGGGATTTTAGTTTGTCACCCTAGAATCTTCAATTCGCCCAGTAATATATATTTTTCCCTATTATTTGCACTCAACCCCCATGAATTCCACCATCCATGGAATTTGAATTTGGTTCCACTTTGTTGAGAATTACACCACCCTCTCTGATCTCAATGCAATTACAACAAATTTTAACACTAGAACGGACCCTTATTGTAATATAAATGAAGTGCAAATAAAAACCATCACATTTATAATTAAAACTTCTTCTAACATATCCCAAAATCCTAAACATGAATCATACTCATTGCAAAAGAAAAGTAAAAGGAAAACAATGACATGATCCTCTCATGCCATTATTTCCTAATAAGAAGAAAGACTAAGAAAAACAAATCACAAATCATGAAGAAAACACAACGGAAAACTTTATTTCATCAAAGCAAATTCACTAGATAAGTGTTTACAAAATTATAAGATAATGAAGAACACAATACTTAGTTTTTTTCCCTTGAAAGAAAAATGAAAATCTCTTTCACAATGTCTCCCGCTGATCCATGCAATGCTAGAACATTCCCTTACAAATTCTCTCAAAATCCCCTCACCAATCTCTCTAAAAAGGTAGAAATCTATATTTATTTCTAAGGTAGAAATCTATATTTCTACTCCTATTCTAAGATCTCTAAACATTCTCCACGTTTTTTTCACTCACACACACCTATTTATTCTAACATAAAAGCACTCTATTATAGTGTAGTGATGAATTTCCCAAGAGATGCCTCAAGCAACCTTCCAAAAAGCGTCTAAATACATTAAATCTTTTAGAAATTCGCTCAGCATCAGGTCCAAACCATCTTGGGTATTTTCGACACCCTTTTGGGCGCTGTCGGTGCCATTTTCACGTCGTTTTCTACACTCTGGCGCTGTCGGCACCGGTTTTGGTGTTGTCGGCGCCCACCCTGCGCAGCTTCATTATTTTACTTCGTTTGATTCTATTTTAGTTCTATTTCGCCCTGTTTCAGTTGCGTTGTGTTCATAACAGATAAACCTACAAAATAAGCATAAAAACAATCTTCCTTTAAAGTGTAATTTTATTCAAAAATGTGTGAGAAGTGTAAAATAGAATAAGCATAAAAAGACATCGCATAGAAAGACATCAAAATGTGTACATCAAAATGTGTAAGGACGGAATTTTCTTTTTTGCTCGTTTTTGTTCCAAATTGCACCGTATTTGCTCCAAATTGTATTGTTTTTTTCTTTTTTTCTCCAAAACTCTATTTCTTGTCCCTGAACCCAAAAATATGCAAAATACCTTTCTTTAAAGTGTAATATCTTTAAAAATCATTAAAATTAAATAGAAAATATATATGAGAAAGTAGTCATTTTGTAGGCGTATCATTTCACCATATGCATTTCTGCGTATGGTGAACGTATGTAATATTTTTTTCAAAAAAAAAGTGGCTCATAATAAGTGCGTTCTAAATTGTTACTTCCTACACTAGAACGTGATTGCATATAGTGACTCAACCATTCAATTCCCAGCAGCAGTCCGATTTGGAAACACGTCCCATACTTATAACAAACTTTGACATTCTGTTATAATGCAATTATCTGCATATATATAGTCTTCTATGTATCTATTCACAGGTAATGAATAGGGGGAAAATTCAAGTCCTACATCTCTTTGTTATTTCCATTACAGTTTATGCTTGCAGGTAAAAATTGTAGGTTCAGCTAATGGTTTCTACAGTTGAAGACTAAGAAGGTTTCAGGCAAAGAAGATGAAACCAATGTTTTTACTTCTACATGGTATCAGAGTACTTGCTCTGCAACAAAATTTTTGGTTTCTTCTCAGAAGCATTTTTGGTTTTTTGGTTCTTCTCTCTTCTCATTGTCGGTAGCATGTTTGCCGTGCAAAGTCCCTCAAATTTTTGTACATCCTCTCAACCTATAAGGATGTCATACAAACTCAGTTCAAATCTGATAACTTTCTCATTTTAAAATCACAAGTTGTTAAACTGTTTAGAACCAATGGATTTCACGGCTACTTAGATGGTTCCATCGTAGCTCCTCCACCCTTTCTTACAACCGAGCTGTCTTCACCCACTCAAAATCCTCAATATAGTCTATGGGTTCTCATAGATCAAAACCTCGCTTTGACGTAGTGTTCAATCATCTCTCAACCGATTCTACCTTCTGTTTTACATCTTAATTCTTGCATTGAAATTTGGAGTGCGCTTGAATGTAGGTTCTAATCAACAAATAGAGCTCATCTCATTTAGCTGAAGAAAGAGCTTCACCATATTTCTATGAGAAATCAGTCCATGACTGAATATCTCTCTCAAATTAAAGCTAAAGTCATTCTTATCGCTGCTTTGGGAACAACGCTTGACATTAAAGATGTAATTCTCTATACACTAAATGGGTTATCTCCAAACTATGTTCCGTTAAAAACAACAATAAGAACATGCCTTAAACCTTTAATCCTTGACAATCTATATGCTTTGATATACAACGATGAGATAAATCTAGCTAATGACACAACTAGAGCTGCTCGCACCGCTAACACATATGATCCAATACTTGCTTTGAATACAACAAGAGGAAAATCCTGAGGTCGTGGTTCATATTCAAATTTTAGCATAGCTCATAATAATTCAAACCATGGTAGAGGAGGTCGAACCACTCCAAAGGATGAAGTCAAATGTCTAATATGTGGGA